CTCTCATTCCATGAAGAATAACCAGAAGACAGTTCAAAACACCTCCATCATAAGCCTTCCTCTGTAGCCATATACCAACTTGAAAAGGAGGTGAGAAAAGAAAGACCCTCTGAGGAATATTGGAAGAACTAACCCTGTTAGGGATTTCGATTTTGGAATTGACTGGATATTAGCTGACAAAGACTACTGTATTAATTATGTGTTCCTGTGCAACAAATTACCTCCAAACTCAGTGACTTATAACAACAACATTTATTTTCTCAAATATCTATAGGTCAGGAATTCAGGAACGGCTTAGCTTAGTGGTTCTGGCTCTGGGTTTTACATGGAATGGCAGGTAAGATTTTAGCCAGGGCTTCTATCATCTGAAGGCTTAATTGAGGCTTCAACATCTGCTTTAAAACTCATTCACATGGCTGTTGGCAGGAGGCCTCACTTCCTCACTAGTTATTGGATAGAGGCCTCAGTTCCTTGCCACATGGGCCTCTCTATAGGGCTTTTTGAGTATGCTCATGACATGGCACTTGGCTTTCTTCAAAGTGAATGATACAGAGAAAGCGCAAAGAGGAAACTACAGTGCTTTTCTGTTTTAATTTCAGAAGATACACGTTGTCAATTTCACCACATTCCTTTTGTTCGAAGCAAGTCACTAAGCCTACCTCAAGGGAAGAGAATCAGGCTCCATCTTCTGAAGAAATAAGTATCAAAGAATATAGTAAATACTTTACACTCTCCACAACTGTTTTACACTGGAAGAGATGAACTATCTATAGCTGAAAAACTAAAACTTCTTTTGTTCATTAACAGTACTTGGACTCCAAAGCAAAATCAGTCCATAGTGAAAGAAATTACTTTTTAAAAAATGTGTTATGTATACATTGTCACCCTTAATACGAGGTAGATATGGAGCACTATGAGTTGAAGTGCTGAAAAAGACCACACACATTCTCAAATAACTTCTTCAAAGACTGAATTTATGCAACCTCCATAAGACCACGAATAGCATAACTTATTCCATTTTTTCCCACAAATAATATTGTAGAAAGATTTAAATTTTTATTTTCACAATTTTTGATTTCTACAGTAGAAAATAAGTTAGGTTTTGAAATAAACCTTCAGAGAAAGATGCGGATTTAGGTACACCTTGGTTAGAATCTCATTTCTAGTTACTTACTACTTTTTTGTGAAAGTTTCTTTACACCTCAGTCTCCTTATTTGCAAATAGAGATGCGATTCTCCTGCCTCAGCCTCCCCAGTAGCTGGGATTACAGGAATGTGCCACCACACCCAGCTAATTTTTTTTGTATTGTTAGTAGAGACGGGGTTTCACCATGTTGCCCAGGCTGGTCTTGAACTCCTGACCTCAGGTGATCCACCCACCTTGGTCTCCCAAAGTGCTGGGATTACAGGCATGAGCCACTGCACCCGGCCAAAGAGTTTTTATTTGGAAGTAAGATAGCCTGGGTTAAACTACTGGTTCTAAACTTCTTAGAAGTGTAAAATCAAGCAAATCAGTAAGTTTTCTGTGCCTCAGTCTTACCATCTGTATAATGCAAATAATAGTACTTATCTTTCAGGGTTGTTGAGAAGATTAAATAAATTAAAACAGCAAAACAAATGCGAACCTGGAATATAGTATTAAACAGACATTTGCTTTTTTCACTAACATGATTATTACTATTACTATTACTATTATTGCTACATTCTTTTTGTTTTTGTTCTTTGGAGAAAAAAGAGTTCTGAAAGTTAAAAGAAAATACCATTATTAAAATTATACATATTTTAAAGTAATTTCCGGTGCTTTTTATGTGTTATTCTTTCTGAGTTATTTTAGTGTATTAGACACGAGGTCTTGCCCTGTCACTCAGGCTGGAGTGCAGTGGCATGATCATCGCTCACTGCAGCCTCAAACTCCTGGGCTCAGCGGATCCTCCCCTCATCCTCCCAAGTAGCTAGAACAATGGGGGCATGCCACAACCCCTGGCTGTAAGAAAAGATTTTATTTTCAACCCCTAGACACTTAAAAGGAAGAAGAATGTCAGGAAGAAGCCCAATGTTGTGGGTAGGTAAATTTCAGAGCTAGATGTCAAAAACGGACTTCAATATCTCTGAACCTGCATGTGGATGTGTAATTGTTACTCTGTTATTCATGCTGCGGCCAATTTGAATAGAATAGAAAGCCTTCGGGGGAAAAAGAAAGACTTATAGTAACTACTGTGGCCTTGCCCAGAGGGATCACACACCCTGTGTCTCTAGTTTTCTCCCTTCAGTGTTCCCCACCCTCCTGTCATCTCTGGCAGGATCACTCCAAATGTGCTATGCCTTGCCTGGATTTTCGATTCGTTGCCCCATCACTTAGTTCCAGTGATCTGTGCAACCTTCCACAGGGGTTGAAGCTTCTGTTCTTAAGAGAACCTGCCAGGAGGCTGAGGAGCACTGTGTAGCCATGAAAACTTGGAGACATCCTAGGAGCAATTACTCTAAACTAGGGGAAAATAACACTTTTTTTCATACTTTTTTTTTTTTTTTTTAGAAAGCTTGGTTCAACTGAGAACTTTACACAAAAACAAAATCAGCTTAAAATATGCATTGTCACTGAGAAAATATGGAACTTAAGCAGGGAAATTTTTAAAGTCACAACTTTTGGCAATGTAGTAGTAGTCTCTTCTGGTTGATGGAGGTCCAGTAATCTAAGTAGCAGCCCAGTCCGACTACAGCTTAGGGAAAAATCAGTCAAACTCTAAACAACACCTTTTCACCTGCCTGTGACCATAAGAATGGTCACACGTACACAAATACTCAAATTGTTGCAAGGGCTTATTTAATTTTACACTTCATCTTTTCCTCAAAGTTCATCTTCTGGCGTTCTCAAGGAAGAGCTTCAGTTGTTTCCAGGAAGGGGTTTCACTTTATCTCTGCTCACCTCACAGAAATCAGAGACTCGTAAGCCATTTGAGGGCGATGGCACACCACCATTATGGATGCCATTCTCTTCTTTCTCAGGAAGATTCCCCCAGATCCCTCATGATATGAATTTTGTGCAGAAGTCTATGGCCAAGCGGGGATTCAGACATAGCCCTCTGTCCAATTCCAAGTAGAACTTTGGTAATATTATCAAGATGATAATGCTAGAAACTAATTTGTACTAAAATGTTAACGACTTCCATATAATAGTTCCATTGTAAATGAAGTAATGTAGTACTTTCATTCCATCTCAATAAGGGTATGATGAGATGTTTTCACTGAAAAGCCACTGCAGGAGATGCTATGGATGGTGTAGCTTTATGGAGCCCTTCAAAATGGAGAATTGATTTTAATGTGACAGAAATAATAAAGTATTACATGTCTTGACAAATAAAAAAATTATAAATATGGGAAGTTTTTTAAAAAGGAAAGGTTAAGACTCATGTTTGTCCCTTTTAATAATTTGACAACTTCTTGAGTAATCCCATAAACTCATGGTTTCTCTTCTATTCTAAGCTGTAACGTGGGGTTATCAGTATTTGACTATTTTAGATGATAAATAATAACTTCAAATAATGGGTGTGAAGCCAAATGTTTCACAAAGGCATGGCGGCCTCCCATTTTTGCTGAAATTTTCTTTAGTAACTGAATAAATACCCTTTCTTATTTGCTTTCAGTTCTTAAACAAGAAGGAAAATACTTGCACCTTCAACTATAATTTTCTTATACTCTGGAAAATCGTCATTGAACTAATATAAAGCACCCTGACTTTCACCTCTGTTCTATGGTGACTTAAAGTATTCCTTTGCTTTCAGGTATAGCTCTTTAAACTCCAAAGTAGTTACTATTTATCACATTCTAAGCTTGAGTCCATTGAATAAAAAGGAGTTTCAATGAATTCAAAGGCAGAATCCCTCATCTCTGTTCTCCTAATCTGTAGTCTTGATACTCAGAAGAAAACTGAGACTCCACATTATCATTGAAAATATATGCTTTTCCTTAACTTCAAATGATATTAAAATAGCATATGACTCAGTTAAGCTCCCTGAAGGGTAGGGGAAAAGTTATATTCTTCAAGGAAATAGAAGGAGCAAAGGTTTCTCTGGTGTAACACGAGCTAACAACAGGAAAGTGACAGGCATAGAGGTACCCAATAAAGAAGGCTAATTTCACAACTAAAACAGAATTAGAAGAGAAGACCTGGTAGCCCAGTGACTAAAAGCTATTTTGTGAAAAATTATTAATGTTAATATCGAATAAAGTTTTCTTGGCGGTGATTCCTAGGTTATTAATTTTGGTACACTATAACTCTGCAATAGGTTTTTTACATCCTAGTCTAGAAGATGTTCTTTATGCAGTGAGCACAATGTTCCCAATTCATTTCTTACACTTGCCATGTTTGCCACTCATCATAGAAGACATTGTTCTCACTTTGAGACCTGTTTATGAAAATAAATAGATCTCTCAAACTAGAAATGGGCCTGCTTTAGGAATTGCACCATCTAGACATAAATCATCGTATATGATTTTGATGATTTTTTTTAAAAAGGCAACGTGGACGATGGTCTCTTCTACTGTCTCAAATCAAGGACACCAATTTGAAGTGCTTCAAAATTTAAATAAGTATTTGAAATAAGTATTTCAAAATAAAAAATAAAAAACCAGCAGAACTCTGTGGTTGGTGAGATGTGGTCCAGATGAGTGTGCTAACGGAATCATGTGTACCCTTTCCGTGAGGCCAAGCACTAGCTAAAATCTTCTTACCATCAACTTAACAACCTTCCACCAGTTCTGAGCCTTCTAAAAATATCAAGTTTTATCTTCGAGACATAACACAGATGTTTTTGAAAGTACAAAATAATATATTTCATGACAACCTATAAAATCTATATTCTATAATTAGTGAGGTTGTCTTGCAAAACAGTTCATTTTTTAAATGTCTGCCTGTAAAATGGAACCCAGATTTTTAAAAATAATAATTCACTTTTCATTGGATTTTTTTTATTATTTTAATTTTTTAAAAGATATATCCCTTCTAAGCAAAAACTAAAAGTTTGGTATAAAATGATCTTGAAAACACAATGCCTTTGACTGCTTAAAGAGTCCTAAATTTTATTAGTAGGCTTTTAATCATTTAAAATGATAAAGAGAGCATCTTCTATTCATTTTCAATAGGACAAGGCAATATTAAAACGAGACCATTCCATCAGAGAAGCTTGATTATTTTCTCAGTGTTTTAAATTATGCATATGATTGATGACACAAATACATGTTTAAGTGGTTGCAAATTTAAAAAATCAATATTCCCAAAGAACTAAAATTATGCCCAATCATAAATAACAAATTAATTCACCTGCATATTTTGATTTACAACTTACCCTATGAACATGAACATTTTATAAAAGAGAAATATCTTTTCACATCAACTTGTGTTCATTATATTTCATACCAATATAGCTCAAATCAAACACAAGACTTTTCAAAGAGAAAAAAATTAGAACTATTCCTTGTTTTTTTCTTTCCCAGATGATCTAGTGTGCGATGTGGACTGCCATGTTGCACCAAACCCACAGCAACCAGGACCCATTGTTCCCAAGGGAAGCATAGCCTATGCGGGAATGCAATGGTGTGCTCTGCAAGGAACGTGGAAAATAGCATGTCACGACTGTACGGCACACAACAGACAATTATGATTCAACTGTCCAAATTATAATCAGTTTGACAAATGTCCACAAGCGTCTTCATTCTATTTTATATTTTCCCTAAGACAAGGCAATCACACAACCAGACAATTCCATCAGGGAAGCTTGTTAGCTGCTTAGTCTGTTAAACCCTGGTTGCCATAGCATCTAGAGTTGAAAAAGCTGCAGATTGGCATGAAAAAGCATGTCGACAATTGCCCTGTCACAGCATGCAAGCCAGGTCTGCTCAAAGGCAGCACACTACAAGTTTTCTTTCCCAGTTTGCACTACCCCATGCTGTTTAATAATATCCATTTACTGGTATTGGGATTGATCTAGTGCAGTGTAAAATTCACGTCTAGTGAGACTTTGCTTTTCCCATGGAGTGAAATTCTTTAACAAATGGGAGTATGGCAATTAATTTAAAAATGTAATACTGTATATAATATAAGAAGTATATTTAGATTTAATTGAGAAACTGTCCAAAATTTTAATGCACAGTTCTTTAAAGAGCCAGTCTTACTTGGCAATTTTTCAGTTGACTTTGTAGTCATTTCTGAAGCCTAGTTAGTCATACTTTGGAGATGACAGACAGCATTCAAAATTCAGTAGTATATTTTTAAACATGTTTTAATCGTGACATAGTCATTTCTTCTTTATATGCATGGTATAATTTAATTAAGGATATACATTTCTAAAATAACTATAATTTAATTAAAGATTAATATCATGAACATTGAAATTATAGTCTAGAGAGCAATGTGCATCAGCTTTTTTTCCCAGAGGGATCATATATTTAATGGTGATAAATTACCATGTATTAATAAGAAAAAGTGGGTTTCTACCAAAGAGTATTCAAACCCCTGCCAACTCTCAGAATTATAGAGTGTATAGATTTTCAGTAAAGTATGTTTACAAACAACCAATGTTAAGTTATTAAACTATAAAAATATAAAAATATGTACATCCATTGTAAGACTTAAAAAATAATTTTTGCTTGGAAGTTTATACTCACATTATTCAGCCTTTCCTTCTTCCATTATCTCCTTCTATTCCAATATGTCACTTCAATTTAGGTTTTCTTTGATGCCACAAAGAAAAAAATCTGAAAGTACATCCACAAGAACACAATTAACCTAGCAAACATATAAGAATTTAAAATACAGATATTTTTCTACATTTTCTAAACCATTTTTTAATTTCCATTGATATCCATTGCTTTACCCTTCTAGTGTTACAAAACACTATTTTATTAAGTATGAGTGATCTCTTTTTTTTAATCTTACATGTGAAAAAACTTGATAGTTTATCATAATACAAGAAAGTGATGATATTATTTTAAAAATACTGAAATAATGATTATTTTTCAGGTTCCTGAACTATTGAAGACCTAGTCCAGTTTTTCTTCCTAAACAAGATTAACAAGTATTTTATATAGAATAATCAAAGCATAACACCTTGAGATTTATATACACATATACAGTACCTATATTCATATATACACATACAGATAGATACATATGAAAATAGTGTTACTGACTGGACCTCTTAAGACTATAAATTTAAATCCCTCATTTTCTAGGAATTCTCAAAAATCTCAAAATCTTGGTATGAAACTTGGTTCACATATGGTGTCCATGAATGTGTTTTCTTATACCACATCTTCCAGTTTAAAAAAAAAAAAGGAGAAAAGCTGTTTACTTGTTAAAGGTCTTTTTATAAGCTTTGATGACTCAAAAACACCTTCGTTTTAACACATGAAATTTGGCAAAGAATTTAACCATGTTACCACTTGAAAGACTTTGATATTTGGAAAAAGAGAGAATTAAAAACAACAGAGATTGAGACTTAAGTTGGCTCTTGTGTATAGAACATAATTTTCTCAAGTATTTTTTTTTAGTAGAAGAATTTACTACGAAAACTTATCTGCCAGAATACCATAACATATCAAAGTCATAGTTATCTTGAATGAACAATGATAAATATAGCTGCAAACTTTCCTTCAGTGTATTAAGTTAAAAAACAAAACAAAACACAAAACTCTTGGTAAAGAGATAACACATAAATGGATAAATATTTTTGTCAAGTAAAAAGCTTAACGAGATGTTGAGATAAAAATTACTCTTATTGTATTTTTTTTTAAAATTGTGTTTAAACTTTTTTGTTGTTTTTCCTTATTTCACACTCAGTACAATGCAATGCAGTCCTTCAAGTTGGACTGAAGGAGGTACCACCTCTTAATCAGCTTCAGGACATGTTCATTTTCCTACCGTTCTCAAAGCATTAAGTTTGAAGAACCTAAGAACTGGGTAGCATGGAAATGAGAGTTTATGCTTTAACTCAGAGTACCTTTGCTTTAGCCAGGATACCTCAAATCATCCTTGTAACCCAAATGCTTGTCTTTGTCTGTGATTCAGAAAACAAATGTTTGTCTTTATAACTGTGCTGTGTTAATATTATGCATTCCCAGCACATTTTTAAAAAAATTAATTATGCATGAACTACGTTTTCTTTTTATACCTGATTTATTTCATGTTCATTTTTCTACTCTAAAATGGGAAATAAAATGATTCTTTCTGAGTTTCTTAGATTATTTTCATTGGCTATCATGATTACTTTTGGATATCCTCTACAAACATTCTTTCAGTCATTTTGACTATTCCCAAATTGTCAAATAGAAATTATACAAGAAAATGTTGATAAACCTAAGATTCCATAAAAAAATAAAACAACTTGACTTGTGGTACCAAATAGAAATGATTTTGCAATGTTGTTGTTTTCTTTCACAATACTCAGGGTAAACGACATAATAAAGATATAACATCATTTTATTTCTTAAAATAAATGTATCCCGTTAATTCCTCATGTGGAATGCTACCTTATACAAAACGTAGGTTTCATATAAACACATGCATTCTTGTGTAAGGTAGTTCTTGTTTTTCTGGGTGATCTTGCCTTATTCTGAAATTTTCTTCACCTGACTGAAAGCACATTAACTGCTAGATAGGCATCACACTGATGTCTCCATGCTGTAGCATACAGCCGTGAATTTGCTACGATCTGTTTAATCAGCAGTGTATTGATTTTCCGCAGCTTTCCTTCATTTTAGCCCCATAGCAGGCTTCTGTAATTTCCTTTGGACAAAGTGTAACCAAACTGTGCTAAGTGATGTTGATTTGCAGGCAAAAGTAAAGGGGTAAATATAAATTAACAAGCTATAAACATTTTACAAGTGGGGAGTCAATAAAAACAGTGTCTGCAGTTTCTTTTAAAAAAAATGATTTGAAGCAGATTGTTAACAAAGGTGTCCAAAGAAACTGACATGAGTCTGAGAATAATTTTTGCGCTTTGTGATTAAGAATTGATCAGTCTAAAAGCCTCGGATGCAACTGAATCACCCATAAGCTGCTGGCCTGAAAAGGCTCAGCAGGGGCTGGTATTTGTTTGTTAAACTCCCATGATTCCAAGTAGATAATTGGTCTGTGAAGTTCATGGCAGAATCTGAATTTGCTTTCTTGCTTCCCAGCTGGCTGAGCACTGGTTTATAGACTTCTGTGTACAAATTTAGCCAGCAGCAAACCTCACATCTTTAATATAAAAGGTGTTTTGTTGTGTTTTTCAGGTGCTGAGTGGAAAGCCCACACTCCAGAAGCTCATTAAAAGGGCCAAGTTACAGTACAGGTTTATTTCTGTCACAGCGTTTCTGAAAACAGTGACAAGGATTAATATGTTTCTTTAGTACTGGAAAAAGCCTGACACAATCCCTTGTGAATTTGATCATCTGTTTCATTGCCTGTATAAGATTCAATCTCCTATTATATCCTAAAGTTACAGCTGTAAACTAAGGCTGGTAAGAATTCATAAGCTGCTGCAGAAGCCTGCGGCAAAACTAATTGTTTTATTCAACAGTCGCTTGTTTATTTATTATTTATTTCATACTCCCCTCCTATAATTCTTTTCCACTCTTCTTCCTCTAAGTCAAGATTGTCTTGGTTCTTTGTCTGAATGCACAGAGAAAATACAGAAACGGGGAGCCCTGTCCCAGGAGCTCTCAAAAAAGTTGCTACAGATTAGTGTTTTGTGGAAATACTCACTCTAAATGTTTTATAAAAGTATTCTTACTCTCCTTTGATTGGCATGAAAATTCCTTGCTAAAAAGCAATATTTGCACAAATATTATAACCTTTGTTTTCTGTGTCATCATGTGACATTAAGCTTTATTTGCTAGTGGTTGCTATGTGTCTGACACATGATTTGCCATGTGCTACATGTAAATCACAGTGAAGTGCAAAGTATATTATAAAACAATTCTGTTTCACATCAAATTAGATAGGCAAATATCTATTTGCTATTTTCAAAAATTAAAGTGCAATATGCTATCCAGATACTATAAAACAAATAATATTTAACATTGAGAAACCTCTTTCTCTTTCCTTCTCCTCTCCCTCTTTCTTCTTCTCTCAAGTTAATTGTGGAGGAATGTTTATTCATTACCTTCCAGTTTTTGTTATTATGGAGAATTATATGCTGTATTAGAATTTTAGATACAAATATGTATATAAATGTGTACATTCAAAATTTCAAACTTTATGTAATTACAAAATAAGACACAAACAGAAAAATCCCTAATAATCCATAATATATTCTTTATAAATACTGGAAATTATTGCAAGAGTAGGCTGAAGAAGTACTTGTTTGCCCCATTGGAAATTAGGCATTAAGCTTCCTTTACTCTTAACAGAAGTTGTGTGCCTAATTCCCTATGCACCACAGACATTTTAACTCATAATAACTGATTGTAAATACAGTATGAAACAAGCTAGAGTCTTATTTGCACCTGCCAATTTGCTGCCCTCAAGCAGTAAAAACAAAAACAAAATGGTAGCAAAAGAACTGCCAAGCAAAACACACTCTGCCCCTCATGTACACTCCGTTCTATTTCCACAAACAGAACCTTTTGCCTCATGTTTTCCATCAACAAAGTTAACTATGGAATTTCAAATAAACTTAAGGAAAAAGATATTTGCATGATAGGACTATAACAAAATAATTGTTAACATGGCCATCTCCTTCCAATGTGTCCCCTTAAAATAATGTTAGTGCTGTAAGTGCTTTATGGCACTTTTAATTATGAAGTAACACATACTCCATGAAGTGTGTATGTTGCAATGGCAGCCACTTATTTTTACTGAATAACCACAACATTTGCGCTCAATTCTGATCATACAATAAAAGCCATGTTATTCATTAAAAACAATATATCATAGATATTTTAAGGTTGGTTAAGTTGCATTCCCTGCTGTTTTTTCATTCCTTGAGCTTTCCTATCATACCACATTTACATAAATAATGGCAGCCTAATTATGTTTCTATTTTTTTTAGAGCTTAAAGTCTTTGTTAACTTTTTAGTGAGGATTTCCCTACTACCTTGATTTAATAAAAATAATTTTTGCCAAATGGTAGACAGTCTTCTAGTCCTCTACTGTGGGTAGCAGTGATTTGCATTATTATTGCATATATTAGTTAACTTGCATCTTTAAAATAGTAACATAAGGCATATAATAATGACTTGTAAACATAATGATATGCATAATTTGTGAATCAATAGCATTTTTTTCCAGTGAGCTCAATATATGTTATTTGATGTTGACCCCTATTCTTTTTTTATTTTCTTTTGAGAGGGAGTGTCGCTCTGGTGCCCAGGCTGGAGTGCAAATGCACGATCTCGGCTCACTGCTACCTCCGCCTCCCGGGTTCAAGAGATTGTCCTGCCTCAGCCTCTTTAGTAGCCGTGATTACAGGCACGCGCCACCACATCTGGCCAATTTTTGGATTTTTAGTAGAGACAGGCTGTCACCATGGTGGTCAGACTGGTCTCAAAATTCTGACCTTGTGATCTGCCCGCCTCGGCCTCCCAAAGTGCTGGGATTACGGTGTGAGCAACCACGCCCGGCCTGATGTTGACCCCTATTCTTAAAATATTCAGTGTACTAAGTACAAGAACCTTATACATCTTGATTAATATTTTAAGGTTTTTGAGAACAAATATTATTTTTATCACATAGAATAAAATTGAGGAAAACTTCATGGACAAATAATTGATGG